GAAGAAGGAGATGTCTGCTTGTTTATTTAGTACCTACCATGTGCGAGAGGAAAAGGCCAGGTCTCTGCCTTCCAGGCCCCTATTATCTAGCAGAGAAGACAAGACCCGGACACAAAGCACATGACAAAGCAGTGTGTATTGAAGGTGTTATGTGTCTGCTTGAGATGGAGCAGCTTCGGGCAGTTTAGTGATGAGAGACAACGTGCAGCTATTTAAATTGAGGTTCACCACTGAGTCTCCAGCACCTGCCACACCACAGGTGTTGGGATCATTGTGGAAGGTAGGCTGGCTTTAGAAGGCAGCTGTGGTGTCATTACTGAAAAAAGTCGTGGCCTAAGAATCAGAGGACTCCAGGCCTAGCCCTGCCACTAATTAACTCGGGGAAAGTCGTTTACTACCCTTAAGCCCCAGTTATCTTCGCTGCTCCATATGTACATCCTCTGATATCTTTCCTCCCAGGATGCCTATCAGGTGCAAACAAGAAAACGTGCACATAAAGACCACTTTACAAACTGCACGGCACTATGGGAATGAAAAGGATGATTCTAGCTAAGGACACACATAATTTCACTTGATTTGACTTGCACAACAAGCCCATGGATTTGGTGAACTATTGTCACCAATTTACAGGGGGAAGACATAGCTCTTTTCCAACGGAATCAGTATGCCTTTGCCTGAGGTTGAAGGACAAACAACAGAATGAATAAGCACAGAATTTAACGCCAAAATCTGAGCTTTTTCTCCAGTCAGGATTATTACAGAGGATTAGATTCAATGGGATCTGAGAGGAAAAGCAGCATTTTTATGGCTAGAGGGAGAAGGGGATTCACCCATGACTCACCCAGGCATCAACTCTTAGATATGAAGAATCCATATAAACCCCTTTCAGGGCTTGACCAAGGCAAGCACTGATCCCATGTTTATTTAAAAAGAATACTGAGCATTTTCTCCATATTAAAATCTTTGCCCATAATACTCTTTGCAGCACAGTGCAAGGCAAAACGAAAGGAGGCTAGATAGGAGATGATATTTTACTATTTGCTCCTAATCTCACTGCTGCTAGAGTCATTAAGCCTTTACAAGGCAGGGATAGAAACCATTGCTTTGTGGATTTGGAAGGAATTCCTATTACGCTCTAATTCCAGAATCTGAGGTACATCTGAAAAAGAGGTCAACGTGACTAGATTTTTCCCTATCTCCTGCCATAGAAAGGTGTCTGCTTTCTCTATAACTTCTGATGATTTGCATGGCTAAACCTCCACTGCCTGCATTCCATTACTTTGTTGTGGGGACATCCAAACTGAAGCAAGGGCATCCAATCAGTCCAGGCTTCTCGTTTTAAACAAACCTGACATTCAGCAGAGAAGGCCTGGGCAGCACTTAGCAGGATGATTAGATTTCCAGCTTTGAGTCCCCTCTACCCACCCTGACTGTCACTCATGCCTGTTGATCAGACACAGATTCTGGACGGAGCCAACGGAGGTCTATGACGTCATAATGGGAAAGTGGGAAGCGTGTTGTTGTTGTTGTTGTTTAATTTAAGCTGTATAGCTTTTCCAGAAATGAATCTACTAAAGGGAATGATTCACGTTTCCTCTGAGGTCTTTGACTTTTTTCACAAGAACTCCTGTACTTATTGGCACGTAAACGGGCAAGTAGGCCTCACACCTCCAGCTGAAATGCAAGGGCAGCTGGGCCAGGAGGTCAAGATCCTCTTGCAAAGAGCTCTGGAGCAACAGTTATGAGACCTGGGTCCTATGTCGTTCATTAACTACAAGGAAAGAGCAGGAGCTATGAGTCCAAAGGCTGCCTGCCGTTCCTTTCCTGATTCTATTTTTTATCAGATACAGGGTCTTGGCTAAGTCAGTTCACTGTTTTTTGAGTATATGGTAGGGGCCAAGCACTGAGATGCTTTACATACATCACCTCATTTAATTCTGAAAACCTTAATAAGTAGACATATCTCCATTTAACACATGAGCATGCTGAGGCTCAGTGAGGTTAATTAACTTGCTACATTCTCCCCAGCGGAGAAGCTTAGATATGAACCAGGGCTTATGCCTTTAACAACACCCTAAACGAAGAGCCACAAGAATACCTAGCTCTCAGGGTTCCTGTGAGGTTAAAATGCTTGAGCATGGTCCATAAGTTTCTAGGGCACGTAGCAGCACCTGACAAAAGATCATTATTGTGGTATCTGCTTGCCTGGTCTTTCTCAGAACGATAGGAAAAGTACTACGTAAATCTACGTTGCTAACAGTGCCTGGGCTGGGGAAGCAGTGCTATAGCTCATTCTGTAACCAAGACCGCAACTCATGACTATTTCAAGGAAACCTGGGAGGTCAGGGAGCATTTTAATTATTGTGATTTTGGAAAAGTCATGACGCATTTTTGCAACAAAACACACACACACAAATACGTCATGACTTTTCCGACAACCTAATAAAACACCAAGTTGACATGAGCAGACAGGCAAGCCACGATTAAGATCTTAAAAGCAGATTTTTCGTAGAAATGCTAGCGTTTGTAAGGGAACAGGTTTTGGCACACAGCAGGGAAAGAACTGCTGCCCAGGAGTTTTGCTTGAGGAAGGAAGAACTAAGAGCAGCATGGGTCTTAAAGAATCTGATCTAGCACCCTCTGTTCATCTAGCCCGCTGCACAAAGTGCATTCCCATGCAGGCCAGCATTTGATTCTTACAGCAACCCTCATGAATGAACTCAAACACCACTCTCATTTTACAGATGAGGAAAACAAGGGCTAGAGAAACCAGCAATTCACCTAATTCGCAGTCAGTGGGCGCCCAGGCCTTTGAAGACTGTCTCCTTCGCTGCTGGGCTATATGTGGGAGCAGCCCACTAGGCTAGCCGGTGATATGGAGGGCAGAGAGCACAGACATCCCCATCCCAGCGCTAGTCTTATCTTAACTGCTCCCAGGTTCTAGCTGGCTTCTTCAAAGCATTTAATGAACAGATCCTCCAACTGTCAAAAACACCTGTTCAAACCTTAAGTACAAGGTACTGTGCAATTATTTGCCTTCTATTATAAACATTTTTTTCTAGGCAAAGCTGTGCTTCCTAGAGAACCCCACCCCACCCTGTCAAATTGGAGAAAATAGTAAAATCAGATTTTACATTTCGGTTTTGGAACACAAAGATCTTTAGTCCACCTTGGAGAAACTACTCCAATTGCCAAATGGACTGTTTTTCTTTTGAAGGTTGGAAAGAATTCTACTAGCCTCCTTCCCCCACCTCCCCAGTTTCAAACTGTTGATTGTGTGCCTGGTTTACGATGTTATTAAAAAACAAAGACGGGTCTCAAAGTTTACAACCAACCCCCAGAGTGGGGAAGTCAAAAGAAACTTCATGAAATGTGTTTCATGTACCATCAGCAGCTTATATTTGATCCAGGGTAGGCAAGATTAGCTAACTGCCTATCCCCTCGAGCAGTACATTTGGAATAGCCAACCTCCATTCTGAAATCAAGTCTGCAAGATGGAAAGAGGGCTTTGAAATAAGCCCGGCATAGGCTTGAACCCCAACTTTTATGAGCTGTAGACTTTGAGCATATCATTTAACCCTTTTGAGCTCCTGGTTTCCCATTTGTATCATGGGAATAACACCACTTATTTCGCATATAATGATCTTAACATTAACTTCCTTCCTTCTTGGCTTGCTAATACAGGCCAAAAGTAAGCTTCCAGGCTGTCGCTAATACATAGATGACTCAAGGATGTGTAAGGGAGAGGTTATGACCTTTGTGGACATGGTGCTTGTGCCTTTCATCCCCATCACTGGGGTTTAGGAGCAAAGAACAAACTTACAAAATACTGGAGGTATGGAATGGACAGCTGTGCAAAAAGTATGACTCACAAATTATAAGGCTGGAATGCCATCAGATACTCCTGCCCACCCCTGTCCTAAATGGACAAATCTAAAATAGGGCGGTGACCTTCCAAGTAGAGCCCAGGTAGGCCATACCCCGATTTCCATGGGCTCCAGATAATTATGGACCTTGTTCAAGACCGTGGCACATTTTTTCATCTTCAGTGAGGACTTCATCCTCTAAAGGAAGACCTGGATGTAAGCCTGGACTTTACACCTACATATGAGTAACCTGCTTAGCAGTTACGAGTTTGCCAAGTATGTCAACACTCATGATCTCTTACTCCTCACTGCGATGCTATGAAGCAAGACGGTCATCCTTGGTTTCAGAGATGTACAGCTCATCAGTGGAAGGGCCAGGTGTAGAGCTGAGGTCTCTGAATTCCAAGTCCCATTTTATTTTCACTTTGACACCACAGCCACTGGATGAGAGAACTAAACGCTTTAGAGAGTGCTAGTGGCATTATCACTGGTATAGCAGCACAGTGATGGTATGGAAAGAACCCAAAAAATCCCCGTGATATCTGACAAGGCATTTCCCCCCTCCTCTGGGGCTCAGAGCTCAGACTCTAGGGTAAGGGACAGCTAGGTTCAAAGCCCAATTCTACCTCTTATTAACCAAGTTACCTTGGGCAAATTGCTTTTACTCCATGGACCTCAGTTTCTTAAAGATAAGAACAGTATTTAGACTTCAGTGGACTGTTGTGAGGGTAATTCAGGCACAGTATTTTAGAAGGGTGCTTAGCATACTTTTATAATACTTTTAGTATATACTAAGTCCTCACGATATTATCTGCGACTTTAAGGGAAACAACGTATAGAGAAACCAATTTTACCACAGGCTAATTGATATAAACAAGAGTGAAGATCCTGTGTCATCTTAATGGTTATAACGAAAGGACATTGAACGAAACGATGTTATTCTAGGACCTGGGCTTAGTATTTTAAAATACCTTTAGTAATAGTATTAACTCCATGAAATAATGTTAATGTTAATGTTAAAATAAAGTGAAATTCTAATTGATCTGCCCTGTCTCTGCTGGCTCAGATATTCTATAATATGACACAGGGGACATCAGGACAGGTTGAGCATGGTATGGCAGTCTGGGCGCTTACCGCAAGGATGGCGATGACGATGCCCACGGCGCAGAGCACAGCATCGTTTATTGTCTCACCAGTTTTCAGAGGATACTTGATGCTTTCATCATTGCAGTAAAACCCTCGGTGGTAAGGCTTGATGGTGCTTGTCTCAATGATCAGGAAGGGAAGGCCCGCTGGTTAAGATGGAACCATTGCATATACGAGGGGTAGGGAGGAAAAAAAGAGAAGGGGAAAACGTCAATGCAAGGACGCTAAAGAATGACCTAAAACTAAGACCATCCCAAATAACAACAAGGACAGAGACATCAATTCCTCGTGTTTGTGGCGATCTACAGCCTAATGAGAGTTTTCACACTGCATGTATCCCCTTTCCTCCTTTTGTCACCCGTAGCACCATCTTCTGGTCTTGGCCAAGAGCACAGAGAGAGGCAATGGAAGAGCCAGGGCAGGAGCATTTCCACTGCCCTGTAACATCCAGTTAAAAATTAAAGTCCAATTTGTAGTAATTACTGGCGCAGCCCCAAAACTAATGATATCTCATTATGCCTTCATGTGCATTCTTCTCTTAAGTCTTAACCGTTTCCCTTTGAGAAGTTCATCCTAAGGCTCCATCCTCTATGTTGCATGGAGCAGTGAAGGCCTCGGAGTCAGATAACCTGAATTTGAATCCCAGGGTCCAGCATTTTCTAGCAGTGTGACCTCTGGTTCTCAATCCATCTTCCTGGGCCTCAGCTTCCCCGCATGTTAAATGAGTTGTGGTGGTGACTACCGGAGAACAAAGCACATAAAATTGCTAGCACAGTGCCTGGCCCACAGTGGCTGCTCAATGAACGCCATCTTCAGTCTTTTTCTTTCACTGTTCAGAGTCATGGAGAAGACGGAGCAGAGCTGGAGCAGAGCCCAAGGGCATCCGAGCGCAACAAGCTGCTAGTGCAGCTGCTGCTGGTTTAATCAGTAGCCAGCTCAGACGCCATTCTTTTAAAGGTCATGGTAAATGGATTCCATCACCTGCCAGGAAAATGTCCCTATAGCCCTCAAGTAAAAAGTGAAAGGCCACAGTAGCTCTTGCTTGGACACTGCAAAGGCCTCCACATCAGTTTTTTGGCCTTCACTGCCTCTTACACATATCCACCAGTTTACTTCCTGGCAATAAGCATGTCATTAAAAAGCTCTTCAATGGTTTCCTATTGCACAGGACAAGATAAAGTATGACCTACAAAATGCCCCACGCCCCGGGCCTTCCCTCTCCACTCATGGCATTGACACATCCTACAAGAAAACAGTACACAGAGATTCTATCTTGGTTTAGGCTCTTCTCTTAGACTGGAAGACCTTTTTCCACCCTACCACCCAAGTTCAATACCAAGCCCCAAGGCCACCTCACAATTACATTTTTACAAAAGGAGAGCCGCTGAATGTTAGGACTAGGGAAGACCACGAGAAACATCTGGTTAATGGCAACATACACCACTGGTGTGCACCTACAGTGTGTAAGGTGCTGTATAGCCATTTTTGCATTGAATCTTCCAATATCCTGAGAGGTGATTTTAAAGCATCATTTAAGCATGAATATCACTCATCTTCAGGTGGAAAAAAACAGAGACTCTGGGAGGCTATTTATATTTAGCTCACTCACTCTCTTAGTCCATCCCCGAATGCCTCAATCCCTAAGTTAACTTTGCAAATTGGTTTCATCCAAATGTGCATTTCACTAACTGAAAAATCCCAAGATAAGCAGCTGTGGAAAAAATAAAATTCCATTTTCATGTTTTTCAAAAAGAATTAAATTCATGTTACGTTGCTCGAAGGCCCACACCATCTCTTTAAAAAAAAATGTATACCATAAACTCCACAATTTTTCAATTACTTTGGTCCAGACCTGCGGTGATAAAAATGCTCACTTTCTAAAAAGTGTATTTATGTATCACTGTGCATACACACATGGATTTATTTGATTTTATTCTTTGGATTTATTTGAACTCTCCGGCTATTTATTTTGTGACCCCTAACTGCTTCCTGCTAGAACAACAATTTACTTTATCAAATTCATACTGGTGCTTTGAAAAGAAAGAACAGCAACACACCACACAGCATTGTGCCTGACCTTCTCAAAGTAAACACAGAGGGGCCCTGCAGGGGAGGCAGTAACCATTAGCTCTTGAAACCCCATTTCTGGGACGGAGTAAAGGGGGCAAGGGAGGGGCAGTGGATACATGTTCCGGCTTAGAAACGGCAAGAGCAGTTAGCTGATCTTTCGGGGTTGGGGGGCTGGGAGAGAAAAGCTATCATGTGGGCCCAAACCATCTTCATTCCATTGCCTAAATATTTTGAAATGTGGCCAAGTTGGCTATGAAAAGTAGCTGAGAAGCCAGCGGTATGATATTAATAGTCCGCTTTTAAGTTCCACACATCGTGATAAAATCGTTTAGCTTGGTGTCCGAGCCCAGCCGCAGCCTCGGTGGTGCCTGGGAGCCAAAGCGTTGCTAATAAACTTAGGTAGGAAACAGACCCCGAGTTCCTTAAATTTGTGCTACACTCCTCAGGCCCCCAGCTCCCATTTTTTAATAGCATTCACATGATAGCCCTGTAAAACATGTTTCTACGGACAGTAAAACACATATAAAAGAGCTGTGGAGTTAGATAAATTGGGTTAATGACCTCAACTCGGGTCCCTTCTACTTGAGCAAATTATCTCACAACTCCAAAAGCCCCTTCTCATCTGTTCAAAGAAAGAATGAAATCTAGCTTTGAGATTGCTGGGACGATGTAATAAGCTAAGGTATTAAATCATTCATTTATTCAACAACTAGTTATTTTTTACCATGTATACGAAGTATAAGAAATACAAAGATGACATAAGCCCTGTCCCCAGGGAGCTTACGATCTAATAGGGGAAGACACCGGGACGCCATTAAAATCAGTACAGGATGCTGCTTTAGTTGGAAGGCACCAGGCGAGAGCACTGGTAACATCAGCATAGTCTGGCACGTGCTATGGACGCTCAGTAAACGTGAAAAAAGAAGTGTGAAAAAGACCCACAGAGAAGGTTAGGAAAGGAAATCTGTCTGGTCCGTTCCTTTGCCCTCAACCTGGGAGCAACACAAATCCTTTTCCTTCCTTCCTTGATCAAGGCTTAGGGAAGGTTTCCGGTTCTGATTATGTGGATGAGGACCACAAACAGACAAGAAGCTGGATGTAAATATACTCTGTTTGTCGTCTTGAAAGGCGTGGAAATAGCATTTAGAAAAACCAATGGCTTCTTTTTGTCTCCCCTACAAACTTGTGGTCCAGATTGGGGGTGATGCCAGTCAAATCTTGACTTTGTTCCAAAAAAAGAATAACTTCAGATTACTTCAGTCAATGTGAAAAGCACAAACATTGTCCCCAGTGGGGCAGCTAGTCCTCAAAAGATATAAAACATCAAGCCTTCTGTCTCCAGGACACAGAGAAGAGGCTGTTCTTTTTCCAAAAGCAAGATTCCATTTCAACTTTGGCATCATCTTGATTACCAACCAGTACAACCCCTGATCATTTCATTTCAAGAAAATTTCCAGTGCTAGCCACTGGGAATCCAGCGGTGAATACATCACTCATAGTCCCTGTCCTCAAGAGGTTCATGGCATTGTAAGAAAGTCACGGAAACAATTGCATTAAAGTATTTTTAGTGTGCGAACTGACATATGTATAGACTACAAAAGTCTACTGTATTAGGGACCCTACAGGTGGCCCATAGGATGGGAGGCTTGAGTTGACCCTTATATGAGCAGGAGGTTTCCGGGGGCCCAGGAGCTAAGTACATTTATGAGAGTTCAGTGTGGTTTAGGGGTTCCAATAAGGCAGTCAACAAAACCAATGGCCAAACGAGAATACAATTTTAAATTTGGCTACAGAGCTGGAAGAGATACATAAGTAAACAAAGGGAAAACTAGCACAGAGAACAATAATAATAGTGAACATTTACTAAACAACTATTATGTGCCCACACTGTGCTGACGAGTCCCACATAAACTATTACAGCCTGACAAACCTGGCTGCTTGTTATGTTCTAGGCACTGATGGAGCTACTGAGATAAAAGAGTTTATGTCCCAACCTTCAGGTGGCTCACAGGTTCATGGGAGAAACAGTCATAAAAACTAACATGTTAAGTCACCTTAAATTTCAAGGGATTAAAGTGACTTACCAGAGTCACTCTGCAAGTAAGTGATGGAGCTGGATAGAGTTCACATGATCCAGTTTTTGGGTGCTTTGTAAAGTAAGTGAGTCACTTAAAACAGAGAGAAGGAGGCACCTATGAGTATTAATACATTAAATGAAGCTGAGCAAACCTCATGGTCTTTGAAGAAAAAAAGGCTTTGTTTGGAACAGTCAAGGCAACAGCACTGGCTGTTGCTCACTGAACATTCACCATGTGCCTGCAGATGCGCTCAGTATCTAATTTAGCCAGAACTCTGAAGCCAATATCCTGGAATTTAGATGTATCTATAATGAAAGGTACATTATGAGCTTTTTGCAAAGCAGAACCAAAAAAGCATACACACATACACCATCTGGTGATTCTAGACCCAGACTCAAGTATTTCTCCTTTTAATCAAGGATCAATTAACTTCCTATACCTCCAGGGACCTCTTGGGATGTGTAGGCTGCAGAGGAGGTGAAATTCGAACTCACTGACAAACACTTAATGGGCAGAAAATCAAAGCATGAAGAAAGGCCCCTGTGTTGGGTTCAGGCCTTTGAAACTTCTTGGGCTTTGAAAAACTAACACTTGGGCAGGTTGGGCGGTTGGGAGTGGGGTGTAAAAAAACAGAGGATAAGTTTTCGTGGCCCACCCATTGGTAAAGTCATGTGGGAAGTGTTACCAAAGTGACCCAGCCCCAGAGCCCTGCTCCCTTCAGTCACAGCTTCACATTTGCACAAAATTAAACACAGCCTCCTGCTCTCAGAGTGCTTTTTCGAAAGCCCTTGGTGTGGGCCGTGGAAGAGTGGGGGTCAGAGGGTGAATGAGAAATCTTTACACTTTTGCATGAACCCAATCAGAGCATCAGGGAGGGGTTTCCCATGTATCCTATATCCCAAGTCCTTTGAGTGCCTTTTGCAGAGTTTTGCAACTTTCCGCTTCCCTGCATCTGTACTTATGTTAAAATAAGCAAAAGTCTAGGATCTATGTGAGTA